TTTTCATGATATTCAAGTATTACTAGGCGTAGATTCTGCAAGTCAGCCTGCCTGGCTTGAGGCAGAAGATCTAGCAGCCGTCGCTTCATATTACAATAAAAATTTAATTGTACTTTCCCAAGATAACAATCGTTCGGACGTAAATGTTATGGCATTCACAGAATTCGATAGAGATAACGTGTTTGTTTTATTTTACCACTGTCATTGGTTTCCATTAGAATACGTAAAAAATTCTAGTGTTAATTTTAATATTACAACAATTGTGCATATTAATGACANCTAGTGTTAATTTTAATATTAAAACAATTGTGCATATTAATGACAATATTTCAGTCGCCGACAGGCGTAAAATTCTGAACTCCAGACAAAAAAATTATGATTTTACCGAACACTTCAAACAAAACGATGCGTTAACACCAGACGTACACTTTGAATCTCAGGTTAACGAAACATGTTTCGCGGAAAAAGAAACAACATCTTCTCTAGCAGACGTTTCACAAAAGGTAGAATTCGATATTAACCCGTCTTTATCTCACGATAAAAAACAAAAACTTGAAACGTTGTTGAATAATTATAATGAAATTTTTTCAAAGACTAAATTCGACTTGGGCGAGGTAAAATTACCAGATATTGAATTAAAATTAAATCGCGATCAAATAATAAATTTACCGAATTTCAAGTTAAGCGTTAAAGAACGGGCCGAGGTAGAAAAACAAACTAACGAGTTATTAAAGGCCGGCATAATAGAACCGTCAAATAATCCATATAGTAATCCGGTATTTTTAGTAGGTAAAAATCCCCCACAGGGTGACAAAAAAGGGGCATGGTTTTAGATTATAGAAAATTAAATTCGATTTTATTAAAAGAAAGTTTTCCCATGCCGATAATTCAAAATATATATGACTGCTTAGCTGGTAACCACTATTTTTCATTATTAGACGCGTCCAGTGGTTTTTATCAATTCAAACTATCTAAAAATTCTCGACAATATACAGCTTTTTCTACTGATACGGGACATTTTCAATTCAAAAGACTTCCAATGGGACTTAATAATGCTCCAGCAATATATCAGGCCGCTATGTGCAAAATTATGGGAGGTCTTACTTATAAAAATAATATTTGCTACTTAGATGATTGTACAGTTTTTGGAAAATCTTTCGATCAATATTTATATTCGTTAGACATAACATTACAAAGATTTAGACAGTATAATCTAAAATTGAAGCCAACAAAATGTAAATTCGGATACGAGGAAATACAAGTACTCGGTAATATCATAAATTCGAAAGGCATTAGGTCAACCGACGAGGGCATTGAATCGGTAAAAAAATTCCCTTCCCCTAACACTATTAAACAACTTCGTAGTTTTTTAGGACTTGCCAATTATTTCAGAAAATTTATTCCTAACTTTAGTAAACTGGCAAAACCTCTTACAGATCTCACTAAGGGTAAATTTAAAACAAAAAATGAAAAAATTAAATGGTTAACTGAACATGAAACAGCATTTAAAGAGCTAAAGTCTAAACTTACGACACCTCCACTCCTCGCGCATTTTAACGTAAATTTGGAAACTATACTAGTAACAGATGCTAGTAAATTAGGTCTAGGTGTTATACTTCAACAACGTGACGATAACAACGAAACTCATCCAATTTCTTACGCGTCTAAAAAGTTAACGCCTGCCGAGTCCAATTATTCCGCAATGAAACTCGAGGTTTTAGCTATTCATTTCGCGTTTACCCACTATTGATTTTGAAGTAAAATATAAAAAAGGTATTTTTAATAGGGCCGCGGATCATCTATCGCGTTATCCCAGTTCAAGTGAACTAATTAATAATTTAAATTCGAATATTAAAAATGATATTTTTAAAATAAATCTTGTTCAACCTATTAATATTGCTGTAGAACAAGCAAACGATGCGTACTTGCATAACATTATAGGAGCTATTAAAAACCCTATCTCATCAAATTCGTTTTATTTAAATAAGGCCGACAATTACGAAATTTATTTTATCATTATCTTTTAAGATAATGATATATTATATTACAAAACAAAAATTAGACAAATCCCTGTATACGCACTTGCTTTACCTTCAAAATTTATTAAACAGGTAATAATTGATAATCATGATAGTTTATTAAGCGGGCATATCAGTTTTTCAAAAACACTAAACAAAATTAGGAGTAAATATTACTGGCCAAAAATGAGAAAAGATATAAAGTCATATGTTCTGTCATGTGAAAGGTGTCAAAAGAGGAAACCATATAAACAAAGTAAGCCACCGAAAGTAGGGAGATACGATTTAGACAAGTGTGAGATTATGAGTGAAATAATTATTGACTATGTTGGTCCCCTTCCAAAGTCGAGATCTTATAAGTATATTTTAGTAGCTACTGATCGTTTATCAAAATTTTGCGTAGCTCAACCATTTACAAATGCCAATGCGCGTAGTACCAACAAATTTCTTTTAGACTTATTCTTAAGATTTGGTCCAGCTAGGATAATTAGGTCAGATAATGGAACTCATTTTACGTCAAAGACAGTTTTAGACCTAATGGACGCTTTTGGGGTAGACAAAAAATTCGGAATTCCGTATAAGCCTACTTCACAAGGTCAGGTGGAGAGGCAAAATCAAACAGTTATAGACATGATATCACATTACGTTCAGGATAACAATAAGTGGGTAGATTATTTACCGTACGTTGTATACGCCTATAATACTTCAATACATTCGGTTACAAATTATACGCCATTTTATTTAGTTCACGGCTATAATCCTAAAAGCATGTTTGATATTGCACTAATTCCCCTTCCGATGGGAACGTAATCGATGAAATTAATAAAATCAAACATATTAGAAAAACATTACCCCAATTATTAGAGAAACAATCCGAACAGACTAAACAAAAATTATTATCATCGAATAATTTTCAATCATTTAAAGCGGGAGACAAAGTCTTAGTTAAAGTTCCGGTAAAGAGTAATAAATTTTCAGATAGGTATGAAGGCCCTTATACGTAACAATATCAAATACCCTATAGATATATCTTAAATTATTTTATTTTATATCCTTCTTGTGTTTTGTAATTTTATTCAATATCTAAATGTTAAATCTTCTAGATAATAATTTGATGAAAAATAAGTACCTATATTAAAATATATTGTTAACAAAAATATGTGTATACCAGGTTACTAGCACAGTTGTGTAGGTAAACTTGATAAAATTAATTCATCGGCGTAAAAGTTAAATTTAAGTAGTGATTTAAATTCTTCAATACTTGGCAAAATTTTTGAATTTCAATATGCTTTTAGGCACTTCTGGTGAATCGTCAACAGATTCCGATATTGCGGACTGTGATCTAGTAAAAATTGCCCATCGGAAAGAAAATCCCGTAGCCGCTAAAAGTTTATTACCTCGAAGTGGGCCATGTGACATCACACAAGTTGTTTCTGATAACCCTACTCAGCCGGTATTGAAAACGAACAAAATTTGGGAAAGAATGGAGAAATTTTCATTCCGAGTGGTTTAAATTGTACCCATGGTTAGAATACGGTGTTTTGGAAAATTCGTATTATTGCTTTCCTTGTCGATATTTTTCAACTGATCCCTTTGGATCACCGTTTTCTGATTCAGGATTTAAAAATTGGAAAAAAGCTATGGAAAAAAATAGTGGTATAAAGCAGCATGACAAATCAATTTCACATAAATTATGTATGACTAAATGGGAAGGATACGAAATGACTGAAAAAACTGGAAAATCTGTTTTAACTCTTATTAATAGAGAAAATGAAACAGTTATAAAAGAAAATTGTTATTATATTGCAACTGTTGCGGAAATTTTACTTTTTACAGCCTGTCAAAACATTGCTCAACGTGGAGATAATGAAAGTAGCGATAGCATAAATAAACCCAACTTCTTAGAACTTTTAAATTTTTGTGCTAAAAGAGATACTAGGTTAAAAAAAAAATCGATGAATTACCTAAAAATGCAAAATATACACATCACAGTATACAAAATGAATTATTTAGTATTATGAGTCAAATGGTCATAGAATCAATTGCAAATGAGTTGCAAAAATCTAAGTACTTTTCAATTTTGGCTGATGAAACTAAAGATTTAAGTAAAACTGAACAATTATCAGTAATGGTACGTTATTTCTACAATAACACGGTAAATGAACGGTTTTTGAGGTATGTGCCATGTTCTGAACTAAATGCTGTTTGAATTTATTAAAATAACTTTATCTGCTTGTGGGATTAATATTCAAAATTGTATAGCTCAAACTTACGATGGTGCTTCCGTAATGAGTGGTACTCAAAATGGTGTGCAAGCAATTTTTCAAAAGGAAGTTCCAAAAGCATTATATACACATTGTTTAATCATCGCTTAAATTTAGTGATTGTGGATGTTTGTAAAAACGTACCAGAAATTGAAAAATTTATATCACTTCTTCAACAATTGTATAACTTCATAAGCAGATCTGCAGTACATATGGCTTTCTTAACCCGTCGTTGGTACACATATATTTTGTAACATAATTGTTACACTGTGAGCGTGACGCTCACACTTCACTANAAGTAGTAAGAATTCTGTGCTATAGGACTATGACTTCTTGAACGAGAGGTTTGTGAAGTATTTGATCTTTGAGTAATTATACTAGGTGTAGGTTCAGAAATGTCACTATCAGACTCATTTTCACGTAATTCGGCGGGATCTACATAACTAGGATCAGCATCGGTATCGTCTGAGTCATCTAAAAAAACTTCTTCGGTCTCTTCTAACCACGAAATAACTTTATTGGACATGATAAATTAAAAAATAGTAAAAACACGTGTACGTAATCGACTGTGACGGTGGTGATAAAAATATTGCGCGGTTAGTACAGTGTTAGCGCGACGCTCACTAAATCGGTACAGTCGACTTTGTCTAACGATAACTGATAGGAAATGACAAATAGTGCAATCATTTATTTTTAAAAATATTTATAGACATGTTATTTGAAGGTATTTATAGTACCAGATTAATTCAATAATATTTGTACGAATAACGCTCGAAATGCTATCTGTGTGAGCGGCGCGCTCACATGTGTACCAACGACGGGTTAAGTATTCAGAAAGAATTATTTCCTAAAAAAAATACAGTTGAACTTAAAAAGTTATGTGACACGAGGTGGATTTGCCAGATATCTGCATGTATTGCTGTTAGAGAAACATTTTCTGTTATTCTAGTACTTCTAAATAAAATTAGCATTGAATCAAAATGCGAAAAAAGTATGGAAGCAAAATCAATTTTGATTCATATTAATTTTGAATTTATATTTTGTTTACACCTCTTTTGTGATACATTTAGTCAAATAAAAATTGTTTCTGATTATCTACAACTACCCGAATCAGATTTAGGTACAAGTGCNTCTACAACTACCCAAATCAGATTTAGGTATAAGTTGTATAATGGTCGAATCATTGATAGATTATCTTAAACAATTCCGAACAGTTGATAAATTATTTGATTTGCTTTTGGAAAAAGTTGTTTTGTTTGCTGAAATTAATAACATCCCGTTACCAGAAGAAAACACATATAGAAGAATTTTTTGTAAATTGCCTGCTAAATTTGTATCATATATTACAGAACTACCGATTTCTGAAAATAGGGAGATTATGAGTAAGAATGATGCAAGGACAATTATATTTTTTCCAGTAATTGATCGAATGATCAATGAATTACAAAGAAGATTTTCTGATAATAATCCAATATTATCTGGTATTAGTTCCTTAAATCCTCAAAATAAATCTTTTTTAGACTTGCAAGTATTATTACCTTTTGCCAAACACTATGAAGTGGATATTGAAAGCTTGGAATCTGAATTGAAGTTAATACCCAAACTCATAGATAGACATCAAAAAGAAAAAGAAAAAAAAACTAAAACTAATACTATACTTGATTTCATATAGTTGCTTGAAAATTACAAATTGGTCTTTTCTGAACTATATTTGTTATGTACTATAGCAATTATCATACCTCCTTCAAGTGCCGGTGTTGAGAGAACATTTTCTAGTCTCCGACAAATTAAAACTTATATGAGAAGTAAAATGATCAACACAAGATTATCAGATATAGCAGTTCTTTCAATAGAGAAAAATATTTCCAAAAACCTAGATTTGGAATTCATTGTGGTCAAATTTTCTGCTGCTCATCACAATCGCAGAATGCTTGTTTAAAAAAATCTTATATTTTTCATTGATTGTATTTTCATTTTAAACATTATTAGTGTGTTAAAATTTTATATTATATGCAGTAGGTTATGCAAAATTAATTAGTGTATTATATATAAATCATTACATTTTTTTTTACCAATAGATGTGTTGTGTTCGCTCATTCAAAAAAATTGCTTGCCCTTTACCGCCCCCAAGGAAAATAATTCTGGCGCCGTCCCTGAACATATTTACTTAATATTAACGCTACAAGTTTCTCCTTCAACATATCCTAAAGAGGNCACCCAAAGAAAAACCTCAATCAAAATTGAAAGAGAAATTTTATCAAGGGTTTATGATAATGTTTTATTAATACGAACAAAATAACTATTCTTATAAATAATTATTGTTCAAGACAAGAAAAAAAAATATCATATTGATAAATATATCATTGATTCAATAGTTATGATATATTTATCAAATTGAACAATGAATTTATTATATAGATCGAGGTTTTTCTCTGGGTGTGCACTTAAAAAAAAATCTAATATACACTTTTGGAAGTACAATTATTTAATTAACCTTGTTAGTTAGTTATAATTTCTGTTATGAAATTAAAATTATAGTTTATTATAAATCTTTATTGATATATAGTTAAAACATTTTTCTGCAAAGGCCGTCTACTTCATTTTGTAGGATATATTGAATGTACATTAAAAGCTACAAAATCCTCCCTAAAACATTTATAAAGCTACCATGAATGTACATAATTTTTCTTGTCAGTTAGCTTTAAAATAGAAAGTTTTTTTTCCATACATTTATTAATTTTTATTATTTTAGTTTTTCAAAATGTTTGACTGGTTTGAAGGCAATTAATAAATAACATGAATATGAANAAATTTTTGACTGGTTTGAAGGCAAGTATTTCAAGATGTTTTAATAAATAACATAAAAATGAAAGAAAATTTAATTTAATTTTTAACTTAAAAGTTCATTACAAAACAATAATATTTCTTATTAAATTTATATAATGAATAAATGAGTAATGTTTACTTATATAAATTTAAACGGGGTTGATGTTTCACTATCAACTTCCATTGGTTCTGAAATTCCTTGTGATGAGGATTCAGCAGGATTCAATCCTAGACAAACAATACAAATATTATACTAAAATATTTCTGAAAATTCAAAATATATTATTACCAATACATATGAAAAATGTACATATTCAAAATAATTATTTTGTAAAATTATTAAAGAGTTGTTATTTCCAAGCACGTTTTTCAATTTCATTATGAAATTATTATAACATAACATTTGTGACAAAAATATTTAAATGCAAAATATTAAATTTAAAGCTCATAATATGCTAACATCATTTGTTACACTATATTAGTGGGTATTTGTCCCTTGAAAATTTAATTTTACATATAAATAAATTTACATTATTAGTAATAGTATTAGCATATAAATATGTAATGTTAAATTGATGAAAAAATATTTTACCTTGCGCAAAAAAGTCGATTAGTACTGGCGTGTTTCTACGATTTTCTGATGCAACTTCTAATTCTTCATTAATGATTGCTATTATTACAAATCAATGATAAGTCAAAATTATATAAGTTAAAATTACTTATGAGATCAAAAATTGTATAATTGGTTTAGCTCTAATGTGAAACTGAGTAGATATAAATTTTATTAAAATTAATGATTTTACTAATCTAGAAATACTGACATTTTTATATATACCTTAAATTTAATTTTATATAATATACTTTTCTTATAAAAAGAAAATGTCGAACTTACATTGTCTTCGTGGCGTAAAAGGCTACCGCATTAAAAAATGTAACATTTTTGTGTTAAAATTCTCGAATTTGTATTTTATTCTATTTTAAAATACCTTACAAATGTTCTTGAGTTAGAAAAAAATTTTTAACTCATTTGATTTTATATCTCATTTAGATTTAATAACTTTCAATGAATATCATGAACCCCATAAGTGTAATCTCCCATCATTTGAAGAAATTTCTAATTTATATTAAAATTATTTTACTATTGTATTTTTTTTTTAGGGATCTCATTTATTTTCTCAGTTTCACTTGACCAACTTTTTTTAACTATACATCAAATGATCACAACTCTTATCTAATTAAAGATATTACTCTAAAAAATTTAAAAATTTCCAATATATCAATTAAAAAGTTATTTATCCCATGTTTTTCAGGCAATTAAAATCATTAATTTCTAATGTTTTTAAAGTATTTATTGTTGAAATAGGTTTGATATGATACTAGGTTTCAACTAAAAAATTAAGCGATATTTTTCGTAATTTATTAAATATTTAACTTGTTACTATATAAATAATTTCTAAAAAAAAATGATTTTTAGATTCATCTGAATTTATAAATTTAATATAATCAAATTTTATAATACGCTCAATTGCGTAGATTTTTTTAACAACTTATTGTTTGGTTTTTTTAGTTTAAGTAAATCATTGATATTAATTAAGTTCTGAATATTTCAATTGTAAATTATTTTTTAACACCAAATATCACTTAGAAATTATTAATATGATTTATATTTAAGTGATCTATTACGATAAAAATGCAAAAAAATATTGAGCTTTACTGATATATTTACTACAAATAAAAAACCCAGCACGGGGGTCGTGGCACAGTGGTGACGTGACATTGTTAGATCAAGTATAATGATATCTACAGCGATTAAAATCACTATCATAAAAAACGCTTCGATGCAAATCTTTATAAAGTGTTTAATTTTAAAAAAATTGGTGGATTATTCTAAAAGCTACATGTTCTGCTATTTCTTTATTTATATCCTGATTACAAGTTTTATGATTTAAAAGTGTAATATATGAATAAATAATAATTATAGTAATTAAATTTAGTATGAAATTGATATTCAATAATTTAATATTGTAATTATTACGGAGATATTATAAAAATTATAAAGTAGTTGTATATATCTTTACATTTAATGCATATAAAAATTTAAAAGGTTTGATGCAATACTTTTCAATAAAAATTGTTTGTTATTAATAACAAAGTTATAAGTTTTATACACTGGACTAAAAAAGAACTTTCATCAGAAACGAAAATATACTTTTCTAAAACAACTTTTTGTGATGTTTTCAAATGTGCTTTAATACTAAGATTATATATAAAAGTGTCAGTATTTCACTTACAAAAGTTAAGTTGAAAAAGTTCTACTTTCTATTTGCATTTTTAAGTTTTAACCGTCCTTGCATAAAGGGAACTGGTCCGATTTAAAAAAAAATGTATGTCGAATGAAAGAAATATATATATATTATTTCTCTTACAAAAATTATAATGATCCATAGATTTTTCAAAAAGTTATAGCGTTATAAAGTTAAAAATGCAATTACACTTTTTCTATCACTTCTAAGTTTGAATATTAATAATATTATTAAAAAATAAGTATTTACATCTAAAAAAATAATTAAGAACAAAAAAAAATTGCTTTAAATTAATACTGATTTGTATTAATATACCTATTTGGGACTCTCTTTCTCATTAATGCTCACTTTAAAACCTCTCTCGGTACTCTATCATACGCTTTCTCCAAATTTATAAATACCATACAAAACATTTTTTTCTTTTCCTTAAACTTTTCTATCAGTTGGTTTACACAAAATACTGACTCCATTATTGACTTACCAGGCATAAATCCAAACTGTTTTTTATATACCGAAGTCTCATTTCTTATTCTCTTATCCATTACCTTTTCCCGAATTTTCATACTATGACTCATAAGCTTTATGCCTCTATAATTTCCACACTCCTGTATGTCACATTTACCTTTAAATATCGGCACCACAATAATATTTTTCCATTCATTTGGAATTTTCGCTTCTAACAAGATTCTAAAAGTTCCTTTAACCACCTTATGCCAGTCACGCCTAATATTTTCCATATTTCTACTAACACTTCATCTAGTCCTACTGCTTTATTTTTTTTCATTGGGTTAAATATGTCAAAGTATAATAAGTAATAAATCAAATTAATATATTAAAGTGTAGTTAAATATGTATGATATGTAAAAAAAGAAGTTGACAACATAATAAGGAATGAGTTTAATAAAAACTTAATAATTAATAAATCGAAAAGAAAAATTAAAAATACTATAACAATATATTAATATAATTATCTATTTAAGTGAGATCGATTGGCTTAAATTAAAAAAAACACTCTGTACACTACAATTTATAACTTTTTGTAATATCTTTGTAAAAATTACAATATTAATTTATTAAATATTAATTAATATCACACTAAATTTAATTACTATAATAACTATTTATTCATGTTTTATATTTATAAATCATAAAAATTCTAATCAGGAAATAAATAATAAGGAGGAGCTGAGTTTTTTTGCAAATATTACATTTTTTATTTAATTTCGGTGGCAATGTACTCATAGAAGATAAGGTGTCGGGGGAAAAATGTTTTCTTCATTTTATAGTACATAACATAACCTTTAATTAGAGATATGTTTAAAGGACGCAGTATTTCCGGAACATTTTCAAAAGTTAAGTTGAAAAAGTTAGTTTTTGTAAAAAAGTTGCTATTTTAAATCTTCCCTGTGAGCAGGTTAAGAGTTAGGTTTTCAAAAAAATGATATCAAATAAAAGTGAAATATCTAAAATTTCAATATAAAAATTTGTTGATTTTTGAAAAATTTATGGTAGTTTTAAGAAAAAAAAGTAAAAAATATCGGATTTTGAAAATTGTAATTTGTTTGGAGATTTCCTCCATTTTCGGGGAACGAGGGAAAATTTTTCATTTTTTAAGGGTAATGACTTCAACTATATACGATTTGTGATCTTTTGACGTATTGTTGTAAGAAATCGGTCCAGTGAGAGCTGAGAAAAAGTTGCAACAGACATAAAAAAATCATCATGGTAAAATTAATACCTTCTCAGACTCGCATGGAAGCTAATAATTATAAAATTAGGTGGAATGACAATGTGCTGGTAGCGGACTCCCTCTTGTTTTCTTCTACGAGAGGTGAGTAGACCAGGTCCCTCATAGGATCCGATTGACAGAGGGGTGGGTGTACCAAACTCATAATTCTTTGTGTTACTACAAAAACCATTTTGATTCGTCCGATCTATCAACGCTTTGATGCATAAACAATAGTGACCACCAACTTACTTTATTATATAGTTTCAATTTTCGTTGCTATATGCTCAATGTTTCTTTTTTTATAGCATAAAAATAATATTGTGGAATTATTCAAATAAACGGTTCTATATGTCAATCACAAATTTAAGTGTCTACTACTTTTTTTTATATTATTATTACTACCGAATCAATTGCGTGTCAGTTATTAATTTTAATGGAATCAAATATAAATAATATTCGTATAATTTTCTTAATTTCCAACTAATTTTAAATTTTGTTTCAATTTTTCAGATTGTTTAATTTATTAAAAGATAATTGTAGAGTAACAACTAAATCAATAATGCCAAATATTAAACTACAATATTACACAACCACTCTAAGTAATCAACACCAATGAAACATAAAATATAAACACTTAATAGATTTTTCAAATTATAAAAATAGTTTGAATAATACTACAATAATAATCAAGGACATATTTAGGAGGTAGTGGGTTAACTAACGCTCCGAACAGCAAATGTTTTATGCAATTAAAGGGTGGCAGCATTTTTTTGTTACCATAATATATAAAATAGGAGAGTACGTTGAGGCGGAAACATTCTAAATATATTTCTAACAATAAAACTAATATGCAAAATTTATTAAAATTCATTGTTAGCAAATCAAATATATTATACCTGAATATAATAATTGTATTGGAAATGATGGAGTCATATTTTGAGACAACAAATTAATTTGAAAACCAAGTTTGATAAATTTGTTTACCAATATGTGCTTAATTTGATCATGTAACTTTTTACTTAAGTAATCAAATAAATACAGTGTTTCGCCTTTGTTAGTTATCGTTTCATATTCATAACTCCATTCTTCCCACGTCGCATCCAAATTATAAGAAATATAATGACAATGTTTATTGTTACGATTAATTAAAGACTGGTTTCCATGAAAATAATTAAACAAACGATTTAACATATTTTTTAAATTATCCATTGATAAAGGACATTCATTTAAAGAGTCTTGTTTTCTTTGTAAAGTAGAAAACAAATGACAGTATAATAAAATATTTTTATTTTTGTCATTTGATGGGCAATTGTGCATTGAGTCTATAGCCTGTAACGCTCCTAGCATTAATCCAAATAATGAATTGATTTCATTTGTTAATTTCATTAACTTATTCGTGCAGTCATAAACTAATTCTTTGGGATATTTCTGGCTTTTCAACGTTTTACAATGAATACTAAAAGATTCACATATAAAATAAAAAATCTTCAAATCTTTAACATACGAACATCCAAGTATAAGAGTAGCACTACGTACTTTAAGATCAAAATTATTGAAGACGATTTTTTTTTCGAGGACGTATTTTAGGAAGTAATTTTTTTTATAAAAATAAACCTTTTCCACTTCATTCAAATTTGT